AGGCCCTGGGTCCGGCCGGCGCGTGGCACCCGCGCAGCTATGCTGCGTATGCGATCAAGACCTGGGCGCACTGCATGTCCTACAGCAACTCCGCGCTGAACCCGCTGCTGTACGCCTTTCTAGGCTCCCACTTTCGCCAGGCCTTCCGCCGCGTGTGCCCCTGCGCCCCAAGACGCCAGCGTCAGCCCCGTGGATCTGCACCCTCGGACCCCGGCACCCCATTGGCCGAGCTGAGCCGTCTGTGTGCCCACCCGGCCCTTGCCAGTTCTCCAAGGCCCGGGAACGGGGAGCCGGGCACGCGTAGGTTGTGCGTGCTGGGGCAACTCGCGGCTCCTCTCTGAGCACACTCAGGAAGCCACCTGCGCCCCTGTGGCCAACTGTGCAGCGGTTATTGTCTGTTATTCGTATTTTTATTCTTGTCCCGAATAATCAGTGAAAGTGTTGTGCCGGTGTGTTGTACTTGTCCCCGGTTTGTGGCATTGTTTGCTGTTGACACTGTAACGATTGTCTCCCAGATGCCTGAAGCGAATGTGCTACCAATGGGACACGCTGGATCTTTCTAGAAAGGAACCGGCGTTTTCACATGCTGTCTATTGTCAACTGTACCATTGTTAAGATCCAAGTACTTTTAGAGATATTAAAATGGGAGGGAAAACGCACATCTTAGAACGGAGACACAAAGAGTTTCTGTTGCTACCAGGGGAGAGTCTGACCTGGTCTGGGGAAACAGTGAGTGTCCTTAAATAAATCAATCCTGCCTTGGGGAGTGGTGCACGCCTGTCTTCCCAGAACTCTGGGAGGCTGAGGCAGGAGGATTACCGTAAGATGGAGGCCAGCTCGGGCTACGTAGGCTATCTCAAAAGTAGGGGGCAGAGATTTCACTCAGTGATACCGTGCCTGCCTTTCGAGTGCAAGGTCCTAAGTTTAATCCCCGGTATAAAAAAAAAAAAGTGGGGGGATAGAAGCTGTAAGGAATGTAAAGCTGGAAATCAGAAGTCCTGGGGCCATTTCTACCACCTTGTATTGGTGGGAGCTGTCACATATCTAACCCAGTGGGACTGATCTGGGTGGGTGAAGCTGCTGGGCCCACCAGCATGGCATGGAGGGGAAAAGCACCTCTCTCCACCCTCGCCTTTCAGACCTCAGGCTCAGCCACCCTCAGGGACGACTGCCACCTCTCTGATGTCACAAGCCTTCCCATGAGCCCTCCGGAGGTGGAAACATTGGTGCTCCTAACACTGAACTTGCTTGTCCTGTCACCCAGAACAGGGGACACATCCCTGGCATGCCAACACTCTGGGAGGCTGAGGCAGGAGGATCACAAGTTTGAGTCTAGCCTGGGCAACTTAGTGACTTATCAAGATCCTGTCCCAAAATAAAAAGAGCTTGGGGTATAGCTCTGTAAGGAGACCCGAGGTTCTGTACCTACAGAAAAGAGTAGACCCCTAGACTGGGCTGCACACAAGCCTGGAGTTCTCCCCTCTGCTCACCCCTCCTGCCCATCTCCCTGTCAACTCCCCAGCCCCCCAAACATAAGTGCACCCCGGACCTGCTTGTCTCCCGGCCTTTGCGTGTGCCAAGCCAGCTGCCGCTCACTTATGCCTGGCATCTTGGCTCAGCTGCTGTGTGTCTGGGAAGCCCTCCAGTGCCCTCCAGGCTGTGCCCTGAGCGCATGCCCCGGGTCTTCTCAGGATCACCACACCATAGGTCTGACTGCCTTGTGTGTCCCCACTATGTGCCCAGGGTCCACCGCACAGTAGGACTGGATACCTGTTTGTGGAATGGCTGAGCAAGTGTGTGGTCATGTGTACAGAGGGACTGGCAGGTTTTTTTGAGAAAAACATTTAAACAATGAAACACATAGTTAAACGGGGACCCCTGAACATTGATCCATCAGAAATGGAAGCAGAGGGCCAGGGATTTAGCTCAGTGGTTCTGCTGCCTGCTTCACAAGCAGAAGTTCCCATGTTTGATCCCCGGTACCAATAAATAAATAAAGAGAAGATTTAAAAAATGGAATGAGAGCTGGTGTGGTGGTGCATACCTATCATCCCAGCACTCAGGAGGCTGAGGCAGGAGGATGGCTGTGAGTTCGAGGCCACCCAGGACTACATAGTGAGTTCAAGGTCTTCTTGAACTACATACTGAGACCCCTTCTCAAGAAACAAAAACAACAAGGATAACAACAAAAAGATTAAAAAAAAAAAAAACAGCCAGGGATATAGCTCAGTGTGAAGACCCTGGATTCAACCTCAAGTACAGCAGGAAAAAAAAAAAAAAGGGAAGAAAAAAAAAAGTTTTTCAGGCCTCAGTTTCCCTCACATCAACCTGGAATGTTTGTGTGTGTGAGTTTGTAGTTCGGGTTATTTTGTTTTTTGGCTTGAAGCAACACACATTTATTGTTTCCCAGTTCTGTGAGTCTAAGAGGGCTGGTTCCTTCTGGGATAAGAGTGGGCCCATCAGGCAAGAGATGCCAATCTCCCCATCCTAAGATCCACAACTCAGTCACATCTGTGGAGTCCCTTTGGCATATTCACAGGTTCTGGGGGTTAGGACACAACCGTCTTTGGGGTGCCATTATCACGCCCTTTACAATTCCCAGTTTGCAGGGTTGTTTGCTTTTCGAACCGGGAATCGAACTCGGGACCTTGTACTTGCGCTTGTGAAGCAGGCATGGCGCCACTGAGCTAAATCCCCAGCCCAGTTTGCAGAGTTCTTGTGGTTATTAAATGAGGTCCTGTAGGCACCACCCTCCCTTCAGCACAGAGACTGACGATGTCAGTGACAACAGCTGTCACTTTACTGTCTGCTGACAGCTGGGGACTTCCGGCCTGGGGCAGCCCTCCCTCCCTGCACAGGGGCTGGTGGTAGTAGGGCTGCCTGCACTTACCCTCCCTGCACCCAACCACCGCCTGGACTCTCCTAAGGCCCTAACCCCAGTGTTATCACGGAGTTTCAGAAAAGCCAGGATCTTCTCTCCTGTTTAGAACAGCACTCTCTACCCTGGCTGTGTGAGGGACATTTAACAATAGCGACCGAGGCACTACCAGCCATTTCCTTCTAGCTGAGCCAGGAAACCCTCTTAGGTGGTCTTTATCATTCCTTTCTAAAATTTAATATGCATCAGGGGTGGTAAGCACTAACCCAAAAGGACCATGAGTTTTACATTTAAAGAATTAAACCAAGATGAATGTGTCCTTGAGAACTGAAAGTTGCAGATTGAAATACTTCCAGCCAGAGGACAGGCCTGGGTAACTTCCAGAGTGCTCTTATTTTTTAAATGTTCTTACCTGTACGCACACAAATACAGGACAAGAACTGTTGTATGTTTCAAATGATTTGAAAAAATTCCTGATCTTTTCTCTTTTTTTTGGCACTAGGGATTGAACTTGGGACCTTGCGCTTGCAAGGCAGGCAGCAGAACCACTGAGTTAAATCCCTGGCCTGATCTTTTCTTTTTTTTTTTGAGACAGGCAGTCTCACTATGTTACCCAGCTGGTCTGAAAATCGTGGGCTCAAGTGATCCTCCTGTCTCAGCCTCCCAACAGGCACAAGCCACTGCATCTACTTTAAGGTAATTTTTAAATTGATCTGGTACCACGCACACCTGTAATCCCAGCACTCAGGAGGCTGAGGCAGGAGGATCACTGTGAGTTCAAGACCAGCCTGGGCTACATAGTGAGTTCCAGGGCAGTCTGAACTACATAGTGAGACCCTATCTCAAAAAATAAAATAAAATAAAGTAGCAGGTTAGGTAAGGCAGCCTAGGCAGCCTGTCCCTCCCTTGGCAGGGGTACATGGCTCAGAGGACCCCACAGAAAGGAGGAAATCAGGTGGCTGCTGCCACCACGGCCATGGTTTGTCACCAGCAGGAAGATGGCAGAACTTGAGGAACAGTTGAGTGAAGAGGAGAAGGTTTGTACAGCAGCAAAATTCATCACTCATGCCCCTCCTGAAGAGTTTAATGAGGTTTTTAATGATGTTCGATTACTACTTAATAATGAGAATCTCAGCGAGGGAGCGGCCCGTGCACTCTCGCTGTATAACTTGGATCCGTTTACTCCAGTAAAAATTGAAGGAAGGTCAGGCATTGATAACAATCATAGTGACTTAGGAAATGGAAAGTTTTTGGATCCAAACTAACAGAATCTGTTTCAAGTTCTTTCTTGGTACACAGGGATCAAACTCAGGTCCATTACACTTGCGAGGCAGGCAGCAGAACCACTGAGATAAATCGCCAGCTCAAGTTTAAGTGTTTAAGGAAGGAAGCAACTGATCCAAGACCTTCCGAAGCAGAAAACGCAATTGGACATGGAGAACTTCTGTGGAAACTTCACTGCAAGTGTACGTAGAAGAACATTAACCAAACAGGGTCTGCACTGTATATCGTAAAAAACTAGAGGGACAGAAAAACATTACTGCACGCATAGAAAGCCATCAGTTTCAAGCAAAAAAACTTTTGGAACCGTCATTGGAGAGCACAGCGGAAGTTTACAATCACACCTTGAACCACTCAGTAGTTGGTATTTGAAAATTCAGGTTCATTATCAGGAAGAGGGAAATGTTCAGCTAGTGAATCATAAAGATAAACAAAATTCGGGCCGGGGATTTAGCTCAGCCGTTCAGTGGCCTGCCTTGCAAGCACAAGGACCCGAGTTCAATCCCCGGTACTGGGGTGTCGGGGTGGGGTGGGGGATACAAAATTCCCTAACAGTGTGTGACGAAGTGCAGACTGCAAAAGAATTTATAAAGATTGTAAAAGTTGCAGAGCATGAATACCAGATGGCCATCAGTGAGAATTATCAGACAATGTCGGACACTGTTTTCAAGGCCCCGCACTGACAGTTAACAGTTACACCTACTAAGATCGATCGGAGCAAGATCCTTAGCTACAAGACTGCCAAAGAAGGCTGGGAATTTAGCTCAGTGGTGCTGCGCTCTGCCTCACAGCACAAGGTCCTGAGTTTGATCCCCGGCACTGGGGAAAAAAAAAAATTGGCAAAGAAATGCATAATATGAACCTTGCATGTCTGAATCATTTTAGTAATCTTTGCATTAAAAAAAAAATTATTGCAGAGCCGAGGATTTAGTTCAGTGGTTCCACCGCCTGCCTTGCAAGTGCAAGGACCCGAGTATGATCTGTGGCACCAAAGTAAATAAATAAATAAATATTGCAAAAGTGTTCAGAACTGTCAAGTTGCCCAGTCACATGAGCTATTGCCACTTAAAATCAGTTAATTAATTAGTTTGGTTAGAGCCGGATGTGGTGACACATACCTGTAATCCCAGCACTCAGGAGGCTGAGGCAGGAGGATCGCTGTGAAGTTTGAGACCAGCCTGAGATACACAGTGAGTTCCAGGTCGGTCTAAACTACATAGTGAGACCCTGTCTCAAAAAAACAAAAATTAGTTTGGTTAGAACACAAAAATTAGCTACTCAACCATCATTTTCTTTACTTTTGTTTGAAGATTGAGAAAAATGAGTTTAGTTTAAATGTCTTTTACTTTCTGTTATTCCTTTCTTTGTTATAATGAAGAGCTGATTCCTCTAGTTTATAGTTAAAGTTTTTGAAGTATTGAAAAATATTTTACTTAGTATAACCCTAAAATTGTTGTCTTTGGGCTTATGAAATGGGTAACTTTTGATATTAGCCCAATTCTTTTTTTTTTTTTTAATGGAACTCAGGACCTTGTACTTATGAGGCAGGCAGTGGCACCACTGAGCTAACCCCAGCCCAGCCCAATTCTTTTCAATGGGGTCAGTAATAGACATTGCAGATTAAAATGGTTAATGGACTTAGCTGCTGAAGACTATGCTGCTGAAGAAATTGTCTACCTTTTCCCCTTCATCTCTTCCACTTATGTAA